GAGAGGTGGGGGAGTGCGGCGCGTCGGCCCGCCCGTTTTTGGCGTAAGAGGCGGACATGGTTCACGGCCGCATGGCGGGTCGGTGTGCGGTGGGCGGAGGGCGGGCAGGCACCCGGAGGCTCGCGAGCGGGAGGAGAGGAGGGCGGCAGGACTTCTCCAGCGGGCTGCGGGACCCGCGCCGGCTCGCGGCTGCCTGCCCGCACCTCGGAGAGCGCGACACCTTAAAGGGACCTAGGCGCTTCCCCCGCGCCTGCAGCGGGGTCCCGGGCAGCGGCCCCCGCAGACGGAGGTCCCCCGGAGGGGGCTTCTGGGGATCTCGCCTACCCGAGCCGGTGGGGAGAAGCGCTCCCCCCACCTAGCGAGCGCCTTACATTAGAGCTTTCCAGAGAATGAAGGGAGGGGGGAAATCTGGGATGGGGGTGGGAGGATTAAAATAGTCTGCACAGTTTCAAATGAGACAAAGGTGGCACGGTTCATGAATCAGGACTTGGGGAGGGACGCCGGTGCAATGTGGCAGGGAGTGGGAAGAGCCGACCGGGCGCGCGCGCGTCTGTGTGTGTGTGTGTGTGCGCGCTCGAGCGCGTGTGTGTTTGGTACACTGGAATTTTAACAGGGTAAGAAGTGTGTGTGTGTGTGTGTGTGTGCGCGCGCTCGAGCGCGTGTGTTTGGTACACTGGAATTTTAACAGGGCAAGAAGTGTGTGTGTGTGTGTGTGTGTGTGTTCGAGCGCGTGTGTGTGTGGTACACTGGAATTTTAAAAGGGCAAGAACAGAACCTTCCTTCCGCGACTTCACTCATCAGCCCACTGTGGTAAGGCATGGGGCTTTGTGGATTGTTTTTTGTCCGTGTTTTTGTTATTGTTTTGTCAACTATAGCTTCACAACCCCGAGCCATACACATGCAGGCGACCGCGGGAGACCCTGCCAGCCTGAGTCTGATTCAGCCTCGCAGGAGATCAGCGTGTCCTAAGGAGTTTTGAAGGTCATGTTCGACCTGCTAAAAAGCAAGACTTGGCCACGTGCCTCCCATTTCTACGCAGATAACTGATTTCAAGCGAGGAAACTCATCCTTGAAACCATACACAATCCGTGCCATTGTTGCAACCCTTGGTTTCCTCCTGCACATACAAGAGATTAATTTGAAATCAAATTAAGTGCAAACTGTGGAGAAGAGGAATTTGAAGTATTAAGAAGGGGGAAGAAAAATACATGAGAATTCAAAAATAAAGAGACCCGTTTATCTATAGTTACTGCATGAGAAACCCATCAATAAAATATACATAGTATCTCAAACTGCTAAATCAGCCCTGTCACCTCACATTCTAGTATTATTTTTGATGGAAACTGCCATGTTTGTTTTAACTATTGGCTGCTTATTGAGGTGCTGATTCTATCTTAGCACCCACCAAACACTTCCTTTCCATTCCCGCCTTCTTCACTTAATCCAGACCTTCATTTCTTTGTACAGTCTAACTAGTCTCCTTGCTTTGGGGCTCTGCATGTGCGCGCAGGGGTACGCGTGCACACACACACATACACACACACTTCATTCCAACTACACACTACAGGCAAAGTCATTTTCCTAAAATCTCTGCCAAAGTCATTTTTCTTGAAAAAGCACTCATTGCTCCCAGCAGCCTGCAAGACGGTTCAACAACCAAGCCCCACTTCTCCCCCCTGCTTTTCTGGTCACCACTTCATTTCTTGCTTAATCTCTTCGTACAGACCTTCCAGCAAGCAGTCAGGTCTACTCATTATTGCTCAAACAAACCAAATACAATACCACTTCAGCAGTTCTGCCTTGGAATGTGTCCTACCTCCAGCCCACCCACCCAGCGGAATCCTACATTATCCTCCAAACCTACCCCAGCCACACTCCAAACCTATCCCAGCCCAGACTTCCTACACAGAAACCCTCCCTGATCACTCCAGTCCTGGAGAGTTTCTCATGCCTATGAAAAACTGGAGTACTTATTCCCTGGGCATTTACTGTAGACTGCCTTGGTTTATTAGTTGTCTTTTTATGAAAATTGCCTAATTTCCAAAATAGATGTTTAGCTTTTTATCTTGTATTTGTATACCTTACATATAGTAGATATTTCCTAAAGTTTATGGGTAGTGGTATGTCTGCCAATGCAGAACTCCTTGCTTTAGTTACCATCGACTCAGTCCATCTTTAGTTCTGAGCCATTTAATAGCTGTTATTTTATCTATATACATAAAAATATGTATCTATATATATAGATAAAATATCTATCTATCTATCTATATAGAATGAGTTATTATGTGGGCACCAAAATTTGAGTTTTCTGGCTTTCCACTGCCCACAGTCACTGACTTTAAATTATGAAAAAAGAATCTGCAGCAGCATGACAGTGAGGAGCTCTCTGCATCTACCCTACAGCAAAACTGGTAAAAATTGTCATTTTTCTTTAATTTAAATCTCTGGAATGGTCCTAAGGGTACACAACAAATAAACATTTATTCAAGAAAATTCAGAAAGAAAAGTTAGAGTCTGTGGTATATGAACCAAGACCCACTCCCTCCTTCCCTGCTTCCATCCAGCTCAGCAAGAGAGAAACTCCATTCCACACTGGTGCACCCTGGAACACAGCATTTCCTCTCCCATCAGCTCCAGTGGGAGGGTTCTCTTCCTTGGAGGGACAGGACATCAGCATTTATCATCCTGCCCTCACATCCTTGTTGCTGAGGTTAAATTCCCATCAAATACAGCAGAGAGAAGTGGGCTCCCTTCTTTGGCCCAGCCCCCACTTGTGGGATGGAGGCTCTACCTTTGGCACAGAGCCGCTGAGAATACTGGGGCCCTGACTGCTCATGCAGAGGCAAGCCTGGAGACCTGGCATGCTGCCGCTCCCTACCAAGCACTCAGCTCCTAAAGGGGGGGGTGTCACACAAAGATAGGTGCACCACTGTCCCTGCCCCCAGAACCAGGCATGAAGGAATGACGTTGGACCCTTACTTCATACCACATACAAAAATTAACTCAAAATGGACCAAAGATCTATATGAAAGAGGTAAAAATGTAAAACTATTGGAAGGAAACATAAGGGTAAGTCTTCATGACTCAGATTTGGCAGTGGATTCTTAGATATGACTCCAAAAGTACAAGCAACAAAAGAAAAAAATAAATTGGACTTCACCAAAATTAAAAAATGTTTGTACTTCAAAGGGCACTATCAAGAGAGTGAAGACAACCCACAGAACGGGAGAAAATGTTTGCAAAGCATATATCAGATAAAGGACTCCTATCTATAACATATATATAAGGAAATCTTACAACCCAGTAATAAAAATCCTATTTTAAAAATGGACAAAGAGGGGCACCCGGGTGGCTTAGTCATTTAAGCGTCTGATTCTTGATTTTGGCTCAGGTCATGATCTTGGGGTAGTGGGATCAAGCCATGCATGGGCCTCTACACTCAGCTGGGAGTCCGCTGGGGATTCCCTCTCTCCCTTCCCCTCTGCTCCTCAGCCCCACCCCCTCCCGCTCCCTCTCAAATAAATAAATAAATCTTTTTTAAAAAAGATTCTCTTCCTCTCCCTCTGCCCCTACCCCACCCCACCCCTACCCGCACCCTTGGGCACTCTCTCTAATTAATTAATTAATTAATTAAAAATGGGTAAAGAATCTGAATAAACATTTCTCCAAAAAAGATATCCAAATGACTGACAAGCACATGAAACGATGCTTGACATCATTAGTCATCAGAGGAATGCAGATCAAAACCACAAGATACCACTTTACATCCACTAGGATAGTTATAATAAAAAACAAGTGTTGGCAAAGATACGAAGAAATTGGAACTGTAATACACTGTTGATGGGATTATAAAACAGTACAGCCACTGTGGAAAACACTTTTGACAGTTCTCAAAAAGTAAAACACGGAGTTACCGTATGATGCAGCAAGTCCACTCCCAGGTATATAGCTAAGACAAATCAAAGAATATGTCCATGCAAAAACTTGTACAAGAATGTTCGGCGTTATTCATAATAGCCAAAACTGGAAGCAACCCAAATGTGCACCAACTGATGAATGGATAAAAAAAATGTGGTATGTCTATCAGTGGAATATTATTCTGCAATAAAAAGGAATGAAGTATTGATACATGCTACAACATGGGTGAGCCTTGAAAATATTATGCTAAGTGAAAGAAATCAATCACAAAAGGTTATATATTGTATGATTCCACTTATATGCAATGTCCAGAACAGGGATATCTTTAGAGACTAAAAATAGTTTAGGCTGGGAGTTATCAAGGTGGTAACTAAAGGTACAGGGCTTCTTCAAACTGAGGGTTGCTGGAGGGAGGTGGGTTGGCGATAGGCTAGATGGGTAATGGGTATTAAGGAGGGAATTTGTTGGGATGAGCACTGGGTGTGGTATGTAAGTGATGAATCACTGAATTCTACTCCTGAAGCCAATATTATACTATACATTAACTAACTAGAATTGAAATAGAAACTTGGGTGAAAAAGAAAGAAAAAAATTTTAAGTTAAAAAAAAGTCCAAGCCTTCTTTTGGAGGTGAATAAAATGTTCTAAAATTGATTATAGGGGCACCTGGGTTGCTCAGTCATTAGGTGTCTGCCTTCGGCTCAGGTTATGATCCCAGGGTCCTGGGATTGAGCCCCGCATCGGGCTCCCTGCTCAGCAGGAAGCCTGCTTCTCCCTCTTCCACTCCCCCCGCTTGTGTTCCCTCTCTCGCTGTGTCTCTCTCTGTCAAATAAATAAATAAAATCTTTAAAAAATAATAATAAAAAAATAAAATTGATTATAGTGATGGTTGCACATATTGTGGATATGCTAAAAACCAATGAAGTGTACACTTTAAATGGATGAA